TGCCAAGACATCATCAGAGTGTTCCGTCTGTCCCATGATTGATGGATGGCATCGAGAGGGGTGACAGGAAAAAGAATTCCCAAACACCAAGTTTACATCAACTATCAAACTCAGACTTAAAAGAAATGATCAAGTTGCTGCAAAAGAAGTTTTTTGCTGAAAACAAGCAATTTAAAACTCTACTTTGTTTATGACAGAGCAAGCACTGCCCTATCATGCTGACTTCCAGACTGGAATTGGGATAAAGCTGTGTCTGATTCCTCAGTTTCTTTGAAGCTGATTGGGGAACCGCTTACCAATTTCCTGCAATTATAAGACATAGCTTAATGCCACAGAAAAGGCAGTATTTTAGCTCTTTTGGAGGGAAGAGAGGGGAGGAGTTATATTAATTTTTAACCAAATATTGTTTTTAATAACTTGATAATTTTTCAAAATATAATATATGAAATGATAAATTAATATGACTAAATACGGAGTATGTCATTTATTTATGGAAAGATATGAAACAGCTCTCTTAAATTTTGTTTGAAAATGAAACAGCTTCTCATCTCGAACACCTCCCTTCCCCTCCAGAAACCAACTTACCAACTCCCCGCACATAACCTCAGGGTCAGTTGGCACGAATGGTTTTAGAATTTGGAGAGAGGGTGTTGATGGGGTAAATCTATATTTTGGACTTCATAAAGTATTGAACGTATAACATTATAGATGACCATATAAAATTTTAATCGCCCAATTTTAAACATTGTATTTATACTAAGCCCTTATCAGATACCAGTGCATGTATCAATCATATATTTCTCAAAGAAGGAATTGCATAATATGCTTTACCTTTGAGAGACGAGTGTTTCTTCCGACAACGCCTTCTCCAATCTCTCCTCAAATGGTGTCGCGTGCCAACTCACTTTTTGGTCCTGGTAAAAGAAGTTTTCAACAGCAGAAGCTTCTAATTAAATTTACTCATTTTTAAATTTAAAAAGAACAGAAAATAAAATACAAGACAAACCACCTCTTTGTATTTGTGAGTAGAATTTGGAATCCCGTTTCCACCCCACCATTTAGGCGAGAGACTAGATGTTTCTCTTTCATTCCAATGAGCAGCAACCATTCCAAGGATAGGGCGATCCCCCTTAGTTCTTCCATGACTTTGTTGATTGAAAGGTGGTTGCAGCCAAGAAGATAGGCTTGCTTCAACATTCACATTGTTCTCACTTGTGGTCTCTTTGAGTCCCATATTTGGGGTACAATTTACTTCATTTAAGGATGACTTAAAATTAGAATCTTGAGCGGATTCCGAATCTTCTTCATCTTTCGCCTTCTTCAACTGGGAAGCATTTTCGACAGGGTTTAGAACGGCGTATACATATTCAGACCTGATGCGGGGATTTTTACCTTTTGGCAGATTCTCTACATATGTTGAAAAAATAGTTCCAGGCGTTTGCATCTCATCAGTTAGCTTTAGGGGAGTTGGATAGGGAGAATGCTTTGAGTTTGGACTAGCAACTTCAGAAGGCTTTTTGTCTGAATTGCGCTCAAAATGAACATGTTTTTGTCTACAAGCAGTGACAGGAGGCACTGTTGAAGGTGAAGTTGATGAGATATTAACACTACTACTGTCTTCCTCACAAGTCATGCAGCTGCAGATACATATTGAGCAACATAGTAAGGGGTTCTCTAATAAAATGAACACATAATAAAATGCGCTTTACTTTCAAGTGTGAAGAAAGGATTTTGTAGATTTCAGAAAAAATGTGATTAAAAAAATCAAAAAATGGTCTTCACCAATATTTTAACATTATCACAATATAGCTAGTGTGCCTTCTAACAGAAGAAGAGCAGTTGTTTAGTTCTGGAAATGGTACATTCAAATCAGGAAATTAAAACAGACACATCAATAAATCTGAAACATCAACAAACAACAACATTACCCCGGTGCTGCGGAGGCTCCCACCTATGGTGGGGTACGACGTATGCAGTCTTGCCCCTATACTAAAGGAGAGAGACTGTTTCCGGATTACCCAAAATGAAAATCACGTCGAAAATTGCATGGATGACTGCTGCTTCATAACAGAGAAGCGCAGACAGTTTAGGGAGCCGTTTTGCATTATTCCATCATATTTCCAAGACAAAAAATAGTGTCTTTGGCTCCATTGGAAATGATGGAAATATCAATAAATCTGAAACAACGGTATTAATGTACACAATATATGACATTTGGTAACCACTTTGTTTGGCCTACCAGCCTTACGATGCAGCTTTTTACCAAAAACTAATTTATTTGACTGCACACGTTGGACAGGTTGAAAAAAGAGCAGAGTTGACTGAACTGTTTTGGCAGAAGTTGCTTAAGACAACCATTTTAGCTTTTTTCATATTCGATAGTATTTTTTATTAATTTTATCACTAATAGATATACTTCTACAGTTCAGCCACTTCATAATCTCAATTCCGCAATTGCAGCAAAATTCACCCATACTAAACAAGCTCTCATTATGATTCTAAAATATTGATGGTTTCTGAGCTAGAGAAAGACAGTTTATTAGACTGTTCAGGGTGCTACCTGCTAGGTGTACGGAAGGAAGAGCTTGATCCATCTACCCATTCAACGCAATCTTTTGTAAGTGAGAGATTGTTGGGCTGTATTTCAGTATTTTGCTTCTCAATATAAGTGTCAGGGAACAATGAAGAAATTTTCAAAGGTTCATCAAGTTCCCCCATCTGAGGTGATGATAAATCACTGTTGCATTTATTACCAGAGAGCTTTTTAATTTCAATAGGTGTCTCGGGCAAGGTTCCACAAGCTTTGAGGAACTTGGCCTGCAGAAGAATATTATGGCCCTAATTAGGCAACATACAAACAACAATAAAAGTTCCATAATCTGTATCTTTTTTCCACAAAGCACATCTTTAAATTATAAAAACAATTGTTAAGGAAAAATCTTTAGAATTATATAAAGTAGAGATTCAGACTGAATAAGGAGAGTGGTTGTCGTAAGGCACCTGATGCTTGAGCTCATTTATATCCACCTCAAGCACTTCAGTTGTACAGCCAAGTTTCTCTACTCCGTTGGATTGCAAATTTGTTTCCTCTTCATTTTCTGTGTGCATTTTAAAATTGCAAAAATGAAGTAATCTTCAACATCCAAATACTAGTAAATTACCATATAGGAAACTGCACTTCAAATTAATGAATTATAACTAAATTTTTCATAAAAAGGGGCTAAATAAAAGTTGGATCCTGCAAACCTTACGGTTTGTTTGGATGAGGGATTAAGTGGTTAAGAAGTGTAGGCACAGCTAAAGAATTGACATAGTTGGGAGAGGTAAAAACACGGTATGTTACTAAAAGATGTGTTATTACTGAAAATACAAATGTTGATTGGTTTCACTTCTACCGGACATGTAAAATATAAAGGAGCAGTTTTGGACATTTATGTGTAAGTTTGTAATGGGTATATTTCAGAACCAATTGAAAGAAACTCACTCAATATCTGTTATTAGTATGGATGTGCAAGAATAATATTGATAATATGGATGAAGAACAATTATAGGTAAAGAGGCTGTTAACCACCCCAAAACACCCCAGATTGGAGTGTTAACAAGGTGATAATAAGTTGTTGGAATGGTTACCCGTAACACCTCTAACTCTAAGCACTTGCTATCAATTCTGATTTTTACTGTATTACACTCTTTTCCAAACAAGTGTTGACACCAACAACTCTTAACAGACATTACTATCACCCCATCCAAACATAGTTTTAAGTATTTAAGCTGCACACTGTTCTTCATGATTTTCCTAGATTTATTATATTATCAAACTATACTCTCATATTTAGCGCTCTAACCACAACTAAGTACTCAAATAACCTCATTAATTATTTTAGAAATGAATGCTCTTTAAAAATTTCATGGAATGTTCGACAATCATTATTGCTTAAAAGGATTGTGGTAACCTGTACGGTAAAAGTTACCTTCAGAGACAAATAATGAAGAAAGTGGACTCCGATTCCTCGAGACAACAGGTTCCTGATCGTTCATCAAAACAACTTCGTGAGTAACAGGTGCATACAAAATGAAAGAACTGATACATAATTTTCACAAATTCGGCTACTATGCTAAAAAAGGTTTTGATTCTTAGATTTAATAAATTCAATCATATTCTTCTGGAGGAAAAAAATCACAAATTTGCAAAACATAAAAGATAGCGTACGGTTGTATTGGAGACTCGGGGAGAGCGAGAGGCGTGATCAGAGGGAGGGAGCTGACGATCAGCGGCGGAGCCGTCGCGGCCAAACCGGAAACAACCGAAAAAACAGCCCATAGCCGAATCTAAAGTGGCGCATCCAGTATCGTAGTACTCAGCTGGCGCAAATCATTGGTTTGGTGGGTAGATTGAGACCGAATCTAAACGCGATAAAACATGAGAACAGCTAATTGAGCATTAAGAGCTTTCTCATCACATTGCTTGCAATTCAATTCAGAAGAGAAAACTGACAGAGAGAGAAAACTTAAAGAGAGAGAGGGAGGTGATTTCGCTGGTGGTGACTTGGAGAGTTCACTGAACTGGGATAGTAGTGGAAATGTCGAATGCCAGCCAGCTTGGATTTTGAAATTTGAACGGGGAGAAGAGGGAACCTTTTTAGGGTGATGTTCACTCCTTTTGATCGCCTGACGGGTGATAGACCGATAAAAGTGTACCAATTTTTAAAACAAAAATTCCTTTTGTGCACGTTTTTGTACTCATCAATACACGCATGTGTCTGTGAGAGTTTTTTTTTTGTCTGTGAAGTGCGGTCCACAGACAAAAGTTGGTTTGTTTTGTCTGTGAAATTTTCCACAGACAAAACAAGTGAACTTATGTCTGTGGACCGCACTTCACAGACAAAAAAAAACTCTCACAGACACATGCGTGTACTGATGGGTACAAAAACGTGTACACCAAGAATGGTTGTTTTTAAAAATTGTTATAACTATTTTTTTTGGACAGAGAAAGTTTAATTATGCCAAATCGTGATGAAGTACATGAATAATAAAATCAGGTGGATTATAATGCCAAATACAGCGATCAGACAAAGAACACGCCACCCTAGCCAAAGCGTGAGCAACTGTATTCGCAGACCACCTCACATGCGAGAAGGAAATACTAGAAAAATGTCTACTCAAAATAATAATATCTTCTGCCAACTAAGAGCCTCCCGTAATAGCTTGCACGGAATCCGATTCAACATCAATAAACATCCACTCTTGTTCCTTTAGCCAACTAAGAGCCTCCCGTATACCCATCAATTCCGCCTCTACAGGGTACTCCCTCAGTCCCTCCCAGCTCCGGACATGCCCCACCTGCCAAGAACTCCCCCTGGTCATTCCGGAGCACCCATCCTAGCCCACACCTTGAATCTGTCAAAGAGGCATCAACGTTGAGTTTTACAATCCCATGCATGGGCCTTCTCCAGGAAACCATACCAGCAGATTGCTCCACCAAATTAGAGGAGGCAGAATACACTCCTCTTTGTTGTGCTTTACACCATCCTTCGAAGTATGCTCTGGTACGAGCAACAATCTGCCTGGCATTAGATCCAATGCCCTGCCAAACTCGTTTATTTCTTTCAAACCAAATCCCCCAGCAGCCCATGACTAATGCATAGAACTCTTCCTCCTTGCTTGATTGGAAATTTGTTTCGAGCCATTCCATAAGAGAGACCCAATTTCAAAACTATTTCAAAACTGAAAAGTATCAAATTGGCCCTGAAAGGAACATCAATAGTGCAAATCACATTGAACTATAAAAAAGTGAAATTAGGACCTCCAACTCGACGATATAGTGTAAATCACCCTTTAAATTAAATAAATGCAACCAAATTCTCCAACTCGACGATATAGTGTAAATTACTTACCTAAGTGGTAATTTACCGGTTAAAACTTATGTATGTCATTCATTTAAAAACTGATAAATTATCAAATGAATTCTTCTACTATTTTCAATTCATCACTTAAGCTCTTCTACTAAAAAATATTACAGAAAATATAAATATGCTTGCTTTTAAAATACAATCAATTAAACCATTTTGAGCTAAATTAGGGATACTGATAAATCTTATAAAAATTCATATAAATATTAAATACGGAGTATAATGATATAATATTATAAAAGTAGTACATAATGTAAAAGTAGATATAAACAGTTTTTTAATATAAAAAAATGCTATTAGAGTTCAAAAACTGACTAAATGGTCAAATTGATCATTTTTCTAAAGTAAGCATACTTACATGATGCCTTTTTTAAATTGACTTGTAAAATTACAAAATATTTCAACAACAATAGAAAATGGTTACATAAATCTCCTATGATGTTTTTTACTTGGACGATTTTATGTCCCAGATCAGACTTTAACAGATCAGATCAAACTTAAACATATCAGACCAAACCAGATTTTCATAGTTATAAAATACCCAGAGATAAAACATTTACCAAACAAGACAAGACCAGTTCAGACCAGACCAACAAATTTAAGTCCTAGTAAAAATATCCCCCGTCTTCAAAACTCCCGCTTCCTTGGACGGTAGTCATTTCCTTCATGAAGTGGCGGGACGGTGCTATGTTTAGTTTTGAGTTCGCCGGCGCGTCTTGAGTCATTCCTGGAAACACGAGCATCTCATGAGATTGCATGCTCAACCTCAGCTCGTTTTATAAGCAGTCAATAAAAGGAGGTTTAAGTGAGCTATATTGAGGCGAATAAATGAATTTTATGTGGCATTTTTTTTAATAAATGGCGCATACCAACTTTAATCGATAAATTACCGCTCAGGAAAGTCATTTGTACTATATCACCGAGTTAGAGAATTTGATTGTAGTTTTTTTTACTTTAAGGGGTAATTCGCACTAGATCTCTGAGTTGGAGGCCCTACTTGGACTTTTTGTAGTTTAGGGGGTGATTTGCACTATCAGTGTTAATTCGATGGCGAATTTGGTACTTCTCCCATTTCATTTATAGTCTATTTAAAATTATACTGCCAGCCTAGCAGAGGATTATGGATGTTTTTACTTGGATTCAGTTCCAAACCAAATCAGATGAACCAGACCTAAACAGATCATATCAAATTAAACTTAAACAGATAAAATCATATCAGATCAGACTTAAACAGACCAGGCAAGACTTTCGTAGTTATAAATAGATTAGACCAGACTAGAACAAACCAGACAAGACCAGACTAGACTTAAATAGATTAGACCAGACTCGACCAACAAATTACAGTCCAAGTAAAAACATTCTAACCCGGGCTGCAGCTTATCCCAAATTTAAAAAATGTTTTAATTATTAATGTAAAGGATTTAGTGTAAAAAAATCAAAAAAAAAATGTTATACGGATTCAGCCCAGTCCAGTGCTCTTATTGTTTAACATGAACAATGAAACCAACACTGCTCACTCCTTGTATGTTTTGGTCATATTTTGGGAAACAATCGTACTAAATTATATTTTGGAAATTGTCATGTGTTTTAATCCAATAAAGGTATTTTCCCCATTTTAGATTGTCTAGTTAATACAATTTGACATAATTTATTAAGATTGATAATATTAATTCATAATTTATTTTCTAGCCATCATCGAATTCAAGATGGCGGAAGAGGAATCTAGGCACACCGGTTAAGGTGTTGCTGTGTAACCAAAAGATCACAGTTAAGTCGTGAGAAGACCTCTTGTCAAAAAAATTGATTTGACAGGGAATGAATTGTCCCTTATACACCCACTAGTTTTACTATGCGCAATGCGCGAGAGGAAAATGCCCAATACTATTTTGGTAAAATTAACATAATGAAATGTTAATGGTTATTACTCCGTGTAATTTAGTTGTTTGAAATTGAAGTAAAATTTTATACATAATTTTTTCTATAATAAAAATTGTGAAAAAGACATGAGATTTTTCTTTGCCAAAAAACGGGATCACTTCCATTACAACTCATACAAATATAAATCAACGATGTAAAGAGTCCAAGAAAGAGTAATGTGAATGATTGGGTTTCTAGTGAGTCTTGAACAATGTCTCATTTTGAAACATGAATCTAATACCCCAAAATATGTACTACGTACTAATTAAGATGGAAGTCCAATAACGGATTATGATTTAGGAAGTAGGACAATACCAATATTAATGCTAATGAAATGGGTTAATTTAATTGCCTCTAATAAACATATGAAGTAAAAGATTACAACAAATAGATATTACTTCCCTCGTTCTTAAATAAATGCAACGGTCAACATTTCACACTTGTCGAGACACAACTTTGACCATTAATATATATAAATTTATATTAGTAAAAAAATAAAAATAAAAAAATAGACATTGAAAATTTACAATGAGACAAATTTCACAATATTTTTTTTCATAAAAATATATTCATACATTAATAAATAAAACGTAGTCAAAGTAGAACATGTGAATGGTATAAAATTCCATATGTTGCATTTATTTAAGAACGAATGTACTATTTGAGATAGACGCGGGTTGTGGTGATGATGATTTAAGTATACATGTGGTTCATAATTATAAAATATGTGTACACATACATGCATATGTAACAATATAAGTACCCATACAAATTAAACTTTTGTTGAGTAATGGCATTCTAACACGTACACTTCTGCATATATCAAAATCAAATCAAGGCATATTACGGTAAAATCCGGACATCTTGATTGAACGAAATTGATTACATGGTCTAGTGTCATTATTGAAACTGGATCTATCTTAGTTAAGTACTTTAGGTTTAATGCATTTTCTTTGTGAAGTCTACCCATGCCGTATCGTCGGCAAAAAGGGATTTTCTTAAAGGCCATGGCGTTATCTATATAAGGTTATTCTAATTCTTATTTTTAAAATGAAATTCGGCCAATAGAAATGTTTCTTATTGCGTATCATTTTTCAATATGTTTGCATGTACACCTATGAAATCTCTTAAAAAAAACATTTATTTCTAAAATATCTATTTTTAGCTGATTTTTTTTTTAATTTTTTATATTCAATATTAGTATCATATGAAAGATCGTAAAAAAAAGAAAAATTTTGATATATTTTTTTTAAAAAATGGATTAAAAAAGAAAAAGATAAAACAATTGCCAAATTGTGAAATATTGCCTTGCCACATGGCAGGCAAATAGGGTGGGGGTGAACATAACCCTCTCAAATGAGGGTGAACAAAATTGTTCTCACCCTTATTAGCATGACAAAGTCTGAGTTTTAGTAATTAGACTAACGGTGATTATTAAATTTGGTTATTTCAATCTATGTCATAATCATGTTTTCTTTTGGACTGTTTTCAGTCCCAGACCAGACCAGATCAGACCAACAAATTTCAATCCTAAAGAAAACATCCTTATCCTATGAAGTTTTAAAATAAGAAGGTTTAATGTGAATTATGTTTTGGCCACCTAACCCACCTTTAGTCTGAAATTAGAGGAAGTATGAAGACATTCAAAACATGATACAAGGTTATTAATTAGAGATAAAGCATTTAATCTTATTAATAATTCAAATATACCCGTATTACATCTTTTTTATAATCATATATTGACTTTTTGAGGAGACATATACACAAACACGTAGTTTGGGTGAGAAAGAGAGGCAACAGTTCATGATTTGTTGATTTTTTGGAGCTAATTCTTCACCTTTAAAATGAAAAGAGAAATTTTAACAATTAGGAAACAAAACTCCCAAATAATAAAACTCATCCATGTAGTGTACGATACATTGTTTCATAGAGTAGGTCTGGTGTACCAGATGCTTTAATGAGCCGGATAGGTTAAAGCCTTGAACGGCTTGGAACGTAAAAAGATGGAGATAGGAATAAGGAAAATGCTTAGTGTACATGACTTGTACACAAATTGTACACAAAACCCTTTTAGTTGCCTGTGTACACAGGCAATTCATTTAAAAGAGGCAGGATTTCAAGTCAAATTGTCTGTGTACACAGGCAGTGTACACATTTTGTGTACAAGTTGTGTACACCAAGAATGGTCCTAGGAATAACGGGGTAAGGTTTACTAACGGAAGGATGCCAACAATTACTTCGACGTATAAACTAATGAAAGAGAGAGTACAATGCTTTAATCACATGGTACATAGTCTTCTAGCTATGACATTACACCAACACATTTTTTGTACCCAAAATAGCCCTACCCCCATTCATGCTTATAATTTTGTAAAGATGTGATGAAACTAGTTGTGAACCCGATCAGCGGTCTCGAACTAGTCCAGTACCTGACCCGCTATTGTAATTATTCCTTAAATCTGAATAATCACTATCAAGTTTGAAAAATAATATCGTGTTTAAAGTCTGATATTGTTTATTACTAAAATTGTACTGATACAAAAAAAAAAGATAAACCGGAAGGAATGGGGGACTGGAGACCGATTGCACTGTGCAATGTGGTTTAAAAGTTTTTTTCTAAAGTACTGGCGAACCGGTTAAAGGTTTTTTTGGGTAGTCTGGTTGACGAATGTCAGAGTGCTTTTACACCGGGAAGATCTATAATTGACAATATAGTTGTTGCGCTTGAGACTCAGCTCTATTTAAAAAGGAAAAATACCTTTTTAAATAGAGGAAGATACTGATCACGCTATTCGTTCATGTCAAAAGGTGATGGAAGTCTGGCAAGCGGCGGGGGTCAGTGTGGATATACATCAGCAGGACTTCGAGTCATGGTTCCGAGGGAAAGTAGCATCAGCGACTGGGGAGGCGAGCAGCTCGTTTCTTGCACTGGTCTGGAGTATCTGGAAATGCCGGAATGGTGCGGTCCGGGAAGGGAGGGAGATGGATGTTGCAGGGGTGGTGCGTGTGGCGTCAACAATGCTGGCAGCCTGGCGAAAAGCAAATGAAACTGCTGCGAGTCAGCAGGTGCAGTGGCCGGGCAGGGGAGTTGTGGATAAATGGAGAAAACCTCCTTCGGGATTTCTAAAGATAAATATAGATGGAGCTGTTAATCAAGCGGGAGGAATCTAGGCATGGGGTTGGGTAGTCCGTGATGAACAGGGTACTTTTCTTCGGGCAAGAGGAATTTCGAAGGGGCGGGAATTGTTACCTGAAGAAACGGAAGCTTTGGGAATTAGAGATGTTGTTATGGGAGCAATAGAGGCGGGCTGACAAAAGGTAGAGTTTGAGACAGACTCTCTTAATGTAGTTCAACGGCTGGAAAAGAAGTTGATCGGAGCATCTTATGTAGATCTAATTGTTGATGATATTAGAAGTATGGTAGAAACAAAGAGCAACTTTAAGGCCTCTTTTTGTAGACGGTTTGCGAATACTGTGGCACATGCTTTGATTAGGTCACATGTAGCACTCTCAGATCATAGTATAGAGAATTAACCCAACGTTAACATCCAAAGTAATGAAAAAAAAACTAAAAACGCTCATAATATAATACTCCGTAATATCTTAATTGTCTTGAAATCTTACAGCGAACTTCATTTATAAAGAGAAAACACAGCTTTCAAAAAAACACAGAAGTGTTGCATTCTACTAAAATTAGAACTGTAATGAACATTATATCACGCAGGAAAGGGCGAATACAAAAGACCAGCAGTTCAAGTGCTACTCAATTCATCTTGAAAGCGTCTATTACATGGCGCCTACCCCCTGATTCAACTAACCATTGGCTCGGGACTGGATGCGGGCAAAATATCCAACAGTGAATGATGCGCCTCAAATTCTTCGTGCCATAGTGGAAGTGTGTCACCCGGGTAAAATTTCCTTTCAACACCTTCTGCATTTATCTGCATAATAAGTGTACGCATTTATGGTAGCAGTAATAATAATAATTTTAACATTAATAACAATAATAATTAATTATATAATAAATAAAAGAGAGCCAAAGTGGTTAAGAGAAACAGAAAAGATACAGATAGGCCAAAAACAACCGAAAATACGGGTAGGCAGTGGTGAGGTAAGGGGTGCCTAAACGGGCCCAGCCCACATCAAATTTGAGAAATGATTGTATTTTATGGGTAAAAGTTATCCAAAAACATTATTTGTACCAGCCCACCCTAACATTTGCTTGAAAAATAAATAACATTCCATTCCTAAACTTCCATCTTGCTTTAAAAATGAAATCAAGTGGTTGTGGTCCATTTAGAAAGGAGAAACAATACCAACTGAACAAATCTTTCCCAAGGAAATAATGAGAAAGTTTTGGAACAACTCAAAAAGGAAAGTATAAAGAAAATTATGGGACTCTTTCTATATTTTCCATTATTTCTAATGGAGCAAAAGACTCACTATTTTTTGGCTTGGGAAAATGATGGAATAAAGCAAAATGGCTCACTAAACTATCTGTGTTTCTCTGTCATGTCAGTTCATGCAATTTTTATCATGGGTCATCCGCAAACAGTCTCTGCTTAAGTATAGGGGTAAAGCTGCATACATCCGACCCCCTTACCCCACTGTAAGGGGTAAGGTCCATTCCGAAATCAAGTGGTTGTGGTCCATTTAGAAAGGAGAAACTATACCAACCGAACAAATCTTTCCCAAGGAAATAATGAGAAAGTTTTGGAACAACTCAAAAAGGAAAGTATAAAGAAAATTATGGGACTCTTTCTATATTTTCCATTATTTCTAATGGAGCAAAAGACTCGCTATTTTTTGGCTTGGGAAAATGATGGAATAAAGCAAAATGGCTCACTAAACTATCCGTGCTTCTCTGTCATGTCAGTTCATGCAATATTTATCATGGGTCATCCGCAAACAGTCTCTTCTTAAGTATAGGGGTAAAGCTGCATACATCCGACCCCCTTACCCCACCGTAGGTGGAAAAGCCTTTGAGACACTTGGGTAATGTTGTTGATGATGATGAAGCACTCTTTCAGAAATGCAATGCGGTCATGTTTAAGCATAAAGGCATACTGTATATAAGGCGCTCTTTCAGAAATGCAATGTTGTCATGTTTAAGCATATAGCATACAAGCGCTCTTTTAGAAATGCAATGAAAAAACACAAAAGGATTTGTTATAAATGATAAATCATTACAGAGTTCAGTAAAGGACTCACAGTCACAGTCCGAACAACACCACCACTAGCACCATCCCGGGCAATGGCAAGAGACACAGCTTTGACGACCAAGTTCTGTATGATGAATAAAACAAAAAGCATCTTCATGAACAATACAAAACAGTCTGGAGACAACAATGCCTTGTATTATAATCATCATAGCACCATTGATATGATATTATTCTTGTTTGTAGATATAGTGAAGTGAATTGGTATTCAATTAAAGAATTTATAACAAGAAAGACTTATAACATGCTGCGTAAGGAAAGATATAATAAGAAAGTAGGTAATTTCAAGACCTTACCAACTACAACAATGGTAATTTGCATTTAAGAAAGAAAAAATGAAAACCATCACACTCAGTAATTAAATTCTTACAAGGGAAACATTATCTTTACACAGATATTTGTAAAGTTTAAAAATTACAAGGGAAACATGAAGGCCAGTATTCAACCACACATGCCTTAAAGATGAATACAGTTTTATAGATGTTAATTGCAAGAAAGAACAAACCTCAGCCTCTTCCTTAGTCATTCCTTCTCTCCAAGCTTGATCAAAGAAGCCATACAAATAGGAAGAACCAGATCCTGTGTGTAACCCAAATGCATTATCAATTTTTTCCTCATTCATTTAGTACTAATACAATCAAAATAAAATAACACACAAATAACGACGAATAGCGCCAGATAGGAAAATAACCTCCAATGGTAAATGGCAGGTCCAATACTGTGCCTCCAAGAGGTATCCCATATATTTTTCCACCTTCATGTTTGTCCCACCCACCAACAATAAGCCCAGTTTGTAGCATATTCTAGATAATTCAGTCATTAAATAGAGCCCAAAAAACATGTAAGATGAAATAACCCCATAGACCACAGCACGTGAGGATATTAGTGAGTGAAAGGCTAACAATCTATAAATGCATTGAAAAGCAGAAAGTAATCTCAAGGTTCATGTGTTATCCTCCCAATGGAAAAATCTGGGGCACAGATCTATGAAAGAAAAGAAAGATTCATCCTAGAGGGAGAGTAGACTCTAGCATCAATATCCCGTGTGACTGCGCCTGAGACAATATTGCTAAATTCTATACATATCCATACTTTATAGTAAACCATGCATAGGCTATTAATTTGTCAAGTAAAATAAACTCCATATGTAACAATCAAAGAAACAGGATCGATTCAGCTTTTGTCAGGATATTGATTGAAGTGCAGAAAGAGATAATGGAAAATTTTCTCCTTCGTGTGCGTCAGTTGTGGCTGCAAAAATGCTAGGCGCCCATCATTAAACCGACGAACGCCTAGCACCCTGCCCTTAAAATACATAATTTGCATCTGGGGTAACCATGTTTCTAATTTCTATAAAAACAAAGTGATTTAACCAAGATAAGTGTTCACAAATAAAGTATCGGTTAAAGGCACCTAGCCTACTCAGCTCTTGAACAAGGCTACTTTTAAAGACTATGAAAGCAAAACACACATGTTTCCCCACCTTAAAATACATAATTTGCATCTGGTGTTACCGTGTTTCTATAAAAATAAAATAATTTAACCAAGATGAGTGTTCAAAAATAAAGTATTGGTTAAAGGCACCTAGTCTACTCAGCTCTTGAACAAGGCTACTTTTAAGGACTTTATGAAGGAAAAAACGCACATGTTCCTCCACCAGGTGGGGTAGGACCAGAGATTGTCATATATCAAGAAAATACAAATTTGTAAATCCAAACCTTGTTATTGTAGGCTAGTAATCTAACAAGGTTTGCAGCAACTTTGACAGTTGCAGGCTGTTCAAGTTGTATCCTGGATCACAAGAAAACTCAAACTATTAAATTCTGAATTGAATTTGCTATGAAGTATATTATTAGGAGTGTAGAGCCAAGCCCAAATAGAATAAAATAGTAAAGAACTGAAAATTTTCAATTAAATCTATGGAGAAGTAAACTGCATTAGGAGGCCAAAAGCAAATCATGAGTGCCAGATGGGAAAAAGTAAATATTCTGGGTAGCTAAAAAGTTTAATATAGCGTTTAAAAGAAATATAGAAGAAGAGAGAGAGGTTTGTGTAACAGAATATATGAGAAAGGTTTAAAAAAGCTTGTTTGGGTATCGAGGCGGTTTGTTCGAGAGAGGCGAGACATAAGCCTTGAGGCGTAAGCCTCAAAATTTACCAAGTAAAACTTAAAATAGTTAAAGTGGTAATAACCAACTATAGATATGCATAATAAAAGTCCAAAAAATCTCAAACACAAATGAATATATGATCACATCATCAAATACAATAACTCAAAATGAAAATTCATACACAAAACAGACACATCACATAGATGACAATTGGAAACTCTCGAAGCTTAATCATGATGACTGGAGGGTCTTCGGAACAATCATTATATATTTATTTCTTATAGTCTTCTCACCGTCATACATTCTATCATCACTATCCAAATCTTTAAGTTCTTTCTCTTATTCATCATCATTAACCTCATTACTTGCTTATTTTTCCTGTTTTTTTTCCTTGGTATGACTAAGTTTTAACAACACGTAGAATGCTTAATAGGGAGTTTATGTTAGGGTATAAATGAAAAAAGACTTGTTTGGGTTTAGTGTAGAGTGTAGACATGTGTTTAATGTATGAGTCTTTTATTCCATAAAAATGCTGCCTTTTTAAGCTACAAGCACTTTAAAAAGATAGAAGCATCAGAAAAAACACCTCAAGGCGCGCCTAAAAAAACCTAAGCCTCAAAAACCTTCTCGGTATGCCTCACCTTCACGAGCACCTCAAAACCCGCCTCTTAAGCACCTTTTTAAACCATGTATATGAGATGACACTGTACAGATTAAACAACTTACGTGTGTTGATGGAGAAAGTAGCGAACATAGTCTGAAACAATTTGTGAATCTGCAGCCTATCAGAGAAATATTAAATTAGTCAGACTGGACTTCCATCCGAGCAAAAACAATACCAAAATTCAAAACACAAACAATCAAGACAGATGATAAATCACAATGACAATCTTTTCTAACTATAGTTTATCATATGTGTCAATCTATGTAGCCTCTGCCTGGTAAACTCAATGTGTATCAGCGCATGTATTGCATCATATCTAATCATTACACTGCTTAAATCATGCTTCACAGTGAAATACAGTAGTTTTGGAAAAGTGTGTCCGTAAAATTAATACCGCAAAACACCACTCGAAATTGCTAAACCTAAAATTCTACCCTGAGAACGAGCTTGAGATAATTTGCAAATTTACCAACAAAAGAAACATCAATGAATTGTTTTAGTTTTACTTTGTGTAGATCATTGAGGGAAGATTTAAAGAAAGAATCCTACCGAACCAGAGCGGCAAACATAGACGTTGTCAGTTAACTTAGTGATCTTGTCAGATGCCCTATTCGCCACATACATTCCTGCATTCAATTTAAGTTCCCATCAAATGCATAATCGAGCTAAAACTATCATAGAATCATAATGAAATCTAACAAACATCACTTTCCCCAATAACTGATTAAGATCTAGAAGCTACATACTATCGAACATTACCTGTGCTGGTACGGGAATCGGCACCGAGGACGACGCCACCGTTGTATGTAACGCCGATAATGGTGGTTCCCATTGAGTGAGGCGAGTCCAAACCATTGAGCAGACTCGAGTCCATTTTTACGATTACGTGAGCGATTCCACAAAAGAAATAATAAGAATGGATCCAGGCAAGAGTTTGGTGGAAATCAGAAGTAAACGAGCCCTATAAGAGCGAGGAGCAAAATCTGGACAGCCAGTTTGCTTTCTTGGGAAGGAATAAAGGAGTATTGCAACTTAACCCCTCAAGTCTTTGAATTATCATATTTACCCATATAAATTCCATAATGCATATATGAATGTGAATTCACATGTGAGCTATGAAGCACGGATATTTCACTAGAGTAACGTATCAGCGTACCGGAAACGTTCCCGTATCAGATACTCAAGGATACCTGTACCATACGTTCCCGGGCCGTATCTTAAATTTATCAAAAGTTTTCAACTTTTTTTGGTAATTATTTTAAAATTTCGGATACCGTATCCTGACAGATACACGTATCAACTTTTTTTTATTAAAAAACACCCAAAATGTACATAATGAAATTATTAAAAATGAAAATTTATTAAAATTTAAATACTACCGTACAGCCGGTTGTACCTTGTGCATGGTACAGCCGAGTATTTTTGTAATATTCAGCAACATTAAGCCTTTCAATAAATTTTTAATCCCTAATTTCTGATTTGTGCGTAGGTGTCGATCGTCTTCATCGCTTCCGGCTTCAGCTGCTATGGAGACGGCGATTGACAGGCTTCACTTTCAGATTCCCCTTCACGTGTCGGGAGGAGCTTGATAGAAACCGAACTACTACTCGTTTTCAGAATTGAGATGAATCAAGCGCAGATTCATCCCGTAGGAAGGATTGGTGTGGATTAGTGGGGAGGATGTAATGGTGTGGATCGTTTCATTCTTCTCCACCAAAATCAATCGAATAAGCATTAAGTAGCCCTACTTATTTAATTTGAGTGGTCTGAGTTTTGTTGCTAATGTTCATTCGGCTGGTGCACCGCCCCACTGATATACTTTTACAAAAGAAACAAAATCAGTATACTAACTGAATAATTGAGCACACAACGTATTTTAAATGAGTTTTTTCAATTTTTCGGTGCTCATTTCATAATTTATGTATCCTCATTCGATATTAGTGCAATACTCATTTTAAAATGTCATATTCATGCATATTTCAAAATGAGTTCTATGTTAAACTCAATGAGTATAACGTCCAAAATGAGTGAGCACACACAAATGACTTTTTTAATATTTTGATGCTCATTTTGTAGGTTATGTATGCTCAGTTCGTACTGTTTTATGTTCACTTTAAAAGGTTGCACATGTTAAACATATCATAATCCATTAGATTCACAAAATTGTTGTGATGCTCAACAAAAAAAAACTTATGAGTTACATATCAATGCTCATTTAGTAAGTTACATATGCTCAATTTGTACTCAAATTATGCTCATTTATAAAATGTCATATCAATGCATATTTCAAAACTACCATATTACATTAGATTCACATATTGAAGTTCACAGGAGTTGATTATGGGTATAATTTAATAAGTTTTTATAAAAGAAAAAATAAGAAAAAAAAAGTGAATTAGAAGATATGAACCAGAAATCACAATGATTATTGTGAGGCTCCTAATACTCAGTAGCATACGTCTGATGCTCATTAAATGTGTACTAATGCTCATCTAACGAAAACCATGGTTTTCACCGAAATTACGCGAAATGCCACCGTTTTTTATTTGTGATTTCAACGTTTTTGTTATAACACGAGGTGCTCATTATTAGACTCTTAATACTCATTAAAATTGGACTATTGCTCCTTAATTGTACACTATTACTCATTTAATAGAAACCGCGATTTTCACATTATATTACAAAAATGCCACCGGCTGTACGGTGCTCACCGTACAGCCGGTTGTACAGTGGACGGATCCATCTGGACAGCCAGTTTGCTTTCTTGGGAAGGAATAAAGGAGTATTGCAACTTAACCCCTCAAGTCTTTGAATTATCATATTTACCCATATAAATTCCATAATGCATATATGAATGTGAATTCATATGTGAGCTATGAAGCACAGATATTTCACTAGAATACTGTACCAGCGTATCGGAAATGTTCTCGTATCAGATACTCTAGAATACCTGTATCATACGTTCTCGGGCCGTATCTGTAATTTATCAAAAGTTTTCAACTTTTTTGGTAATTATTTTAAAATTTCGGATACCGTATCCTGACGGATACATGTAACAACTTTTTTTTTATTAAAAAACACTAAAAATGTACATAATGAAGTTATTAAAAATGAAAATTTAAAAATAGATTACACAACCAAATATACGGACGACAAGTAAATTGTGGGATGTTGGTGAAGTTACTTTAAAGTTTGGAGCATGGAGGATATATGAGTTTGAGTTCGCCTACCTTTCCATAGATGAACAAGAATTGGAGTCTGTCTTTTTGGAATACGAAGTTATTCGTGGAAATTAGTAGTTCCATGGGAAATACATACTAGAGCTTTTAGTTTTTTTATTCGAGAATTATTTTTATTTCATTTTAAATTAATGGATTATTGACTATATTTATATTTCGAGATGCAATAGTGTGTATGAGATAAAAAATGATTTATTTTTAACTATCTCGATAATGTGAAATGTTTCAATGCCATGAACGGGCAGAGGTCATAGGATAATATGTGTATATTTTCAAAAAAAATGTAATTTTTAATATTTATAAATACACCCCTATAATTTTTAATATTTATAAATACGCCACGTAACTTTTAATATTTATAAATATGCTCCCGTATCGGTATCCTACTTTTTTGGTTTTGTCGTATCCTCGTACCCATTTCCGCGTTTTCGTGTACCCGTACCGGTGCTACATAGTATGTTAGTAATGATCCTGTCAACTAGTTCTGTTGAGAACCGTCCAAACTTGTCAATCGAAGGTCTTTCCGGGTAGAATTTTGTGAGCATGTTCTTCAAGTGTAGATTGCGTTTACAAAATTTCAACAAGTTCAATCCAGAATTCAGTAAAACAAATTATTGAAAAACACTTTGTTTTTTTTATTTACATTTGGCATAATGTTTTTCAATAATTTATTTAACTAACTTTCTAGTTGAATTTTAAGATGAAATTTTGTGGACATATATATACTTCATGAAATACATTATGATTACAGAATTCCCCCAGAAGCACCTCAAATAAACGAGTTCGGACGATGATTTCCATCAGAACTACTTGATCCTTTTTGTATGAATTCTTATCTTATTAAAATATACTCTATATAACATTAGTCAGATTTTTATACTCTGTGAGTCCGTGTATCGGTGCATATTCTTCTTCCCTGTGGTTTAATCGTGTCTATTTTTATATTAGCCCGATCGGTAAAATGTCAAAGGGCGTGAAAATGGATCCCGACATGAATCGGATCTGGCGGTAAGGCCCAATTTAGCAGGGGAGTATCTATGCACGGGTTATGGAAGGCTGAAGCCCAGGGTCACTTGGAAATTTTTCAATTTTTTAGTGTAATTTTTTTTTTTTTCATTTTTCACGTTTAGCCAACTCCTCTAATATTTAAGCCTAGTATAATTTATATTCAGCCCAGGGCATCTCAAATTCCTGGATCCGCCCCTGCAATTTAGAACCGGATTCGATACTGTTTGGGTCTGTATCGGATCTATTTTTTCCAGTTTTGGGCCTAAACTGGCCCTATCCGGCCATGATGGATATTTGATCCCGGTTGATTGATTTTGGGACCAAACAGAGTGGTTCTGATTTCACTCTCGACAAGTCATTTTTTTGTTTAATGGATGGAATTGGGCTCATCCTCTTTAGTATTTTTAACAAATCTAAATCATAAACCCTGACAAAACAAAAAATGTGGGAACCGGGATTGGACAGACCTGACACCAAGAACCAGCTCGGAACCGAAAATGAATGGGTCGGACCCGGTCTCCACTAAAATTTGGTGAGCAAGAGATAGTCTCGGCTAGGAAGCGAGGCCGGGCTGACCCAAGTCCATGCCTACTACTTTTTTTTTTTTGAAAATGCCTAACTACTTTTATTAAAAACCACACCACTTTCTCATTTCTTGAAAGGAGGTAGTACATCACTACATCCCCTTGCAATCCTATTTCGGTAATTTCCCTTAATGTTTCGACATGTACTTGCTGAATATTTCGGTTACCTGATTGTGCAATGTGAACATGCAGTTGTTGGATTATGAATTCACAAATCATGAGTGTATATATATTAATAATAATTTGCATTTCAATTTTGCGTATTTGATAACTATGACGTATAAGCATAGTAGAAATGTTTGAGCATTTGATAAAACTCGGAACAATGTCCCTCTGCATTTCAATTTTGCGTATGTGGTGATAACTATGGTCTATGATAGAATGTTTGATATCCAAAGAGAAAATTCCGAACACTACCAAAAACTCAATGCAGTCATGTCAAAGTTTGAGTATTTCATAAAACTTGAAATATAGCTATCGTGGATCCATAACTATTTTTAACGAAGATCAATTAAGTACATCAATTTGTATGCAATTGATACGGAGCAGACGCGTGCGACCGAAGACGAAGAAGCAGAGGGCCGCAGGCCCTTGATTGTTTATCGCAGGCGGGGTCGGGAGAAGCCCACATCCGTGGGCCAGGCTGGATGAAGAGTTTTAGCTTAATTCTTATTTAATTAGTATTGGCTTTTAATTAGTTTCCTAGTTTCAGTTTATTTCCTAATATCAATAATTTAGGAGTTTCCTAAATTATTTTCAGTTTATTTCCTAATATCAATAATTTAGGAGTTTCCTTTATCCAAGGATAAGTTGTCTATTTATACCCCCTAAAGGGGCTTTCAAACTATGTTTTATGAATAAGAATTTGTGTGTGTTAAGCTCTTGAGCTTTGTCAACGGTGGTTACCGTTAATTGTTATTTTCCGTTCATATTAATTGGTCCGACCTGCCGGATCCCGTCCCGCCACAATGACAAGATCTCAAAGTGAACGTTTGCAAGAATTGGAGAACGAACAAAGTCGCACGGGCGAAGAAGTAACCCGACTGGGGGCCGAACAAACCCGAACAAACCAAACCCTCGAAGACCATGGCACGCAACTGGTGGCCATAAACCAGACACTCGGTAATCATGGTACAAAACTGGAGGAGATTGCCGCCTCACTGGCGGCGTTGACCCAGGCACTAGTACCGCCGATAGTGCCGAAGACAACCGCCGGTGGTGGAGGTGGCATCGTGGTAACCGCGCAGCAGGGCGACAACGGGCTGGGCAATCCAACGCTAACATTACTTCCGTCATTCGATGGGGGGGATCCCATCGGGTGGTTAGCACGGGCAGAACAGCAGTTCAAATTACACAACTCTCCCCCGGGAAAGAAAGTGGCTGCCGCAATGGTAGCTATGGAAGGAGGAGCGCTCTACTGGGCAACATGGCTCAAATCACGTAAGCCGAGTATGGGCTGGGAGGATTTTAAACAAGCCTTGGTAACCAGGTTTGATTCCCGGTATAAAGGGAATAAATTCGAACGGTTATCCGGAGCTAAACAAACAGGGTCCGTTGAGGAATACAATGTTCTTTTTGTTCAATTAGCAAGCCAAGTTTCGGGATTGTCTGATGATCACTATTTGGGTTATTACATGAGTGGTCTCAAGGAAGCAATCCGAAGCGAGCTACGTTTATTACGACCTGAGAGCCTGGAAACGGCAATGGAGTTAGCCGGGGATGTCGAGCACAATCTGGCCATTCAGAATGGAGGGAGAGGCGGACCAAATTTTAACTCAACCGGGTCTCGAATAAACAGCTACCCACGTCCAAACCCGGGTATGCTTTCAACTACGAGTAACGGCAGTTCGCGTGTCCAGGGGGGCAGCTTGCCGAAAACAACTAGGCCAATAGTGGGGACCACACCACCAGTAACCGGGACCACGTCCGGAACATCGGGGCAGGCCACGGAACGCTCCAGGTTTACTCGAATACCCCCAAGGGTTTACGATGATTTACGCGCCAGGGGACTGTGTTTCAAATGTCGAAAACC